GCACTTTGGGAGGCCACGGCGGGCAGATCGCTTAAGCTCAGGAGTTCGAGACCAGCCTGGACAACAAGGCAAAATTCCATCTCCACTAAAAATAAAAAAACTAGCTGGGTGTGGTGGTGCATTCCTGTAGTCCCAGCTACTCAGGAGGCTGAGGCAGGAGGATCACCTGACCCCGGGAGGTCAAGGCTGCAGGGAACTACGATGACACTTCAGCCTGGAAGACAGAGCGAGAAACTGTCTCAAAAAAGAAAAGAAGAAAAAAATTTCTACTCTGAAAAGCAAAGGGGTAAAGAATTGTGCTTACCTTTGGAGATAATGTAGAACCCTAAACCTAATGCTAGTTTGGCATATTTGGTAGTTTTTTGTATTTGGACCTCAGATGTACAAAATTGGATTAATCATAATCCTTGGTTCATGATATACTCCTATTTTTCATGCATGGTCCATTCCTTTTTCTATTTTTTTGAGACAGGGTCTCACTCTATTCCTCAGGCTGGAGCGTAGTGATGCACACAGCTCACTACAACTTCAAACTCCCGGGCATGAGCGGTCCTGCCACCCTGGCCTCCCAAGTAGCTGGGAATATAGGCAAGTGCCACCATGCCCGGCTAATTTTTAAATTTTTTGTAGCAACAGGGTCTCTCTGTGTTGGCCAGGCTGGTCTCAAACTTCTGACCTCAAGCGATCCTCCCACCTCAGCCTCCCAAAGTACTGAGATTATAGGCGTGAGCCACCGCACCTGGCCAATAACCAATTATTTTTAAAACTATGCACCTCAAACTCACTGCTCAAAACAAAAACTATAACAGATAATAATTCTATGACCTAGCAATTCTACTCCTAGGTATGTGAGAAATCCTTGTTTATATAAAAGAGGAGACAGATATGTACAAGAATGTTCTTAGCAGTACTATTTACAGTAGCAAAACCCTAATGCCTATCTACAGGATAGAGCATGAAAAAACTGGTACGTTCTTCAATGGACTAATATACAGGAGTTGAAATCAATGAACTATAATGACATACAACATGAATGAGTCTTATCAATATAAGATTAAGCAAAACAGCTCCCCAAAATAAATATAGTTCAATACCCCTTTTATAAAGCATAAAATATAGGAATATATATATTTTAAGAATATAGATAGACACAAAGTAATTATATAGCAAGGAAAGCAATGGAATCATAAAGGGGTTCAGGATTATGGCAACCGGGGATGAGGGATAGTGGAGGGATGGGATAGGGCAGGTGAACACATGGCTGGTGTAGATTGTCATGTTTATTAATGGCTTTAAAGAAAATCCAGTACATGTAACTCAAACTTGGACATATGAGAAAAAGCCTGTTTTCCAGACTTTTTGCTACGATTTTAGTTTTAGGATTTCCTCCCCAACTCACCCTCCACAAGACAGAGTCTTGTTCTGTCACCCAGGCTGGAGTGCAGTGACACAATCTCGTCTCACTGCAACCTCTACCTCCCCAATTCAAAGGATCCTCGTGCTTCAGCCACCCAAGTAGCTGGAATTACAGGTGTGTGCCACTACACCCAGCTAATTTTTTTGTATTTTTAGTAGAGACGGGGTTTCACTATGTTGGCCAGGCTGGTTTCCAACTCCTGGCCTCAAGTGACCTGCCTACCTGGGCCTCCCCAAGTGCTGGGACTACAGGCGTGAGCTACCGCTTCTGGCTCCTAGAATTTCCTGATAGAGCTGATTGACTTTCATGTAAGCATATGTTAAGATCACGTAGTGTTAATTTGGGATTATACTGTATGCCAAAAAATAAAGTTCATAAATTTGTAGAACTAGAAGTAAGGCCAGGTATGATGCCTCACGTCTGTAATCCTAATACTTTGGGTGACTGAGGCAGCATTGCTTGATCTCAAGAGTTTGAGACCAGCTTAGGCAGCAGAGCGAGACCTTGTCCCTATCTAGCTGGGCATGGTGGCACGGCCTATGGTTCCAGCTATTTGGGAGGCTGAGGTGGGAGAATCTGCTTGAGCCCAGGAGGTTGAGGCTGCAGTGAGCTATGGTAGCACCACTGCACCCCAGCCTGGGTGACACAGCAAGACTGTGTCTCCAAAAAAAGAAGAAAGATACAGAAGGTAGTGAAATCCCAATGAGTAATATTTATCCTTTCTTAAAAAGTATAATCGTTTAGTAGGAAAATGAGAATTTTTATCTAAATGAAATCATAAATTGCTTTAAGAGGCTCCTGCATTTCACTTTTAATTGCCAAAAACTTTTCTCAAGTTTGAAAATACCTAAAAGCCATATATATGTATATATTTTTTGAGACAGAATTTTGCTCTTGTTGCCCAGGCTGGAGTGCAATGGCGCAATCTCGGCTTGGCGCAATCTCGGCTCCCCGCAACCTCAGCCTCCTGGATTTAAGCGATTCTCCTGCCTCAGCCTCCCCAATAGCTGGGATTACAGGCGTGCATTAGCACGCCTGGCTAATTTTTTGTTTTTAGGAGAGATGGGGCTTCTCCATGTTGGTCAGGCTGATCTTGAACTCCCAATCTCAGGTGATCCGCCCACGTCGGCCTCCCAAAGTGCTGGGGTTACAGTTGAGAGCCACCGCGCCTGGCTGCCATATACTATTTTAATAGAATCATTAGTTTTTCATGGAGTTATTCTTGATCGCTCTTTCTCCCTCACTTGCCACAGTCCTTTACAAGAGCAGTGCTGAGTCTATCGCCTTAACATTGCTCTACTCTGAACCTCTTTTGTTCTCTTCAACCGCTGCTGTAGTTTAAGCCTAGGTTTGCAAACTAGCAACTCAGGGGACACCTTCGGCCTACAGACAAGCTGTGTTTGGCCTGTGCAAAGTTGAAAGTTTAAAAAATTTGTTGCCAACGTTTAAAAATTTGGAAGTTGTGCTTAAAAATGCAGATCCCAGCTTCTTTTAAAAAATAAAAATATTATAGCTAGGTGTGGTGGTGTTGGGGGAAACAGCAATGGAGGAAAGGCTTACAGAGTGCCACATAAAATGATCTCAAGTACTGGGAACAACAGACTGCGGCCAACTGCGTCAGGCCTCTGGGGAGGCAAACTTCTCTAAGCCTTCAAGTTCCAGCTGCAGAGCGACCTTGACTCTGTTACAGTGCATAACATGCTCAAGGACTTAAAACCCCTTTTGTAGCATCACAAAGTAACCAGACTTGTAGGCTCCTTGTGAGACTCACTTCCTCCAGCTGTGCCTAGAATGCAATCTGTAGATAATAACCACATGTTCTGCTTTTCAAAGAAACTCACAAAGCCACCACTGCTAGCAATCTTCAGAATGACCCGCCAGCTCCAGTTCACCGAAGAATGCTCCACCATCGCACCACCCCCTCCCCACCATCACCTCACCTTCACCCCACCATCTGCTGACTGCTCAAAGTGACTGTAACCAATAAATGCTGTGGGGAACCTAAGCTCGGAGACTTCACTGCCTCCATTACAAGTGATGGTCCCCTGGTCCCACTTTCATTCTTAATCTTTCTCTCATTCCCCTGTCGCCACCGAACTCGGGGTACCCACGGGTGGGGTGTGGGGGCTGGTTCCCTACATGGTGGCTCACACCTGTAGTCCTAGCTATTCAGGAGGCCGAGGAAGGAGGATTGCTGGAGCCCAGGAGTTCCAAGCTGCAGGGAGCTATGATTGTGCCACTGCACTCCAGCCTGGGCAACAGAGAGACCCATCTTTGAAAAAGAAAAAAGAGAAACCAGAATATCTGGCAACGCTAGGCCTACAAGTTTCTTTCAACTCGTTCACTTCACTCCTTAGCATCACTTGCTTACCCCCATAAGGGCGACCAGTCTCCTTTATCTAGCCTTCCACCCTCACCTCAGTAGAGTATTATATCTACCCCACCTCCTCTACATTGTCAAAAGTGGCTTTCTCATGAGGTTCAATCAAATCATTTCTTGATTTGCATATGCTTGATTTGCTGGTTGTTTTCAGGATAAAATCCAAACTCCTTAAAATGGCATTTCACGATCCGGTTTGCCCACACCATGCAGTTCCTCACTCCCTCCCAGCTCTGGCTCCCCAGCACCTGCAGTTCCCAGACCAGCATGCTTCCTGACATCTGCCGTGCTGCTCTCTCCACCTTCTCTCCTTTCTCCCGGCTAACCCGTACTCAGCCTTCAAAACTGCGTTGACATCCGTCTTCCGAGAACCCCCGAAGCCTTTCTCTCCTGCTCTTTGAGGATCCCTCAGCAACCTATGCTCTTGAGTTGCTGAGCTCTTCCTTTAAGTGCTCGAGGTCTCCAGACACACCAGCAGACATTAACCAAGGGCGGGCTGAGGGGGGTAATCGTACGGGGATTAGATCAGTGCTATTTCCTAGTCTACACCGCGAACTGAATTCTGTCCCCACGGTGTAATGTGACCGGGGTGAACAAGGGTCCGCCCCGGTACGGATTCCTGAGACCACCGTCCCCCTCCGTGTGCAAACCAGCAGGGAGCGCAGTAGACCGCGCGCGGCCTGGATTGGAGGGAGCGGCCCGCGGGAGCGGCCTGGGATTGGAGGGCAAGGCCCGCGGGAGCGGCCTGGATTGGAGGGGGCGGCCCGCGGGAGCGGCCTGGGATTGGAGGGCGCGGCCCGCGGGAACGGCCTGGGATTGGAGGGCGCGGCCCGCGGGAACGACCTGCAAGCACGGCCTGGGATTGGAGGGCGCGGCCTGCAGGAGCGGCCTGGGATTGGAGGGCGCGGCCTGGGATTGGAGGGCGCGGCCTGCGGGAGCGGCCTGGGATTGGAGGGCGCGGCTTGCGAGCCCAGTGTGCGATTGGAGGGCGTGGCCTGCGGGAGCGGCCTGGGATTGGAGGGCGCGGCCTGCGAGCGCGGCCTGGGATTGGAGGGCGCGGCCTGCGGGAGCGGCCAGGTCTCGGAGGGCGCGGCCTGCTAGCCGGGTTTGCGATTGGAGGGCGTGGCCTGCGGGAGCAGCCTGGGATTGGAGGGCGCGGCTTGCGAGCGCGGCCTGGTCTCGGAGGGCTTGCTGGGAGCTGTAGTCCCCGGAGCCGGAAGTGGGGGTGGCCGGGATTGAAGCCGCCGCCGAGGCGGCAGTCTCTGCCGCTGCCGCCACCCGCGCGTAGCGCATCACCCCGAGCCCACCGGCCGCAGGTGCCTCCTACGGCCCCAGGCGCCCCCGGGAGCCCTGAAGGGCGAAGCGGCAGGGACGCCTCTCTCAGGCGAAGAGGCGGCCTTGTCGCCCCGGATGCGGCCGGAGAGCGCGAGCATGGAGCTCGGCGGCGGCGAGGAGCGCCTGCCCGAGGAGAGCAGGTGGGCTGGGAGCGGCCGCGGAGCTGCGGCGGCTGCAGGAGCTGGAGCCCCGGGAGGCCTGGGAGGACGTGGGGACGCGGAGGGAAGGGCCGGGCGCGGCGAGTCGAGGACGACGGCTGCGGACTTGTTTGGGAGGCATTTCGCAGAGGAGGGGCGGGCGGGGCGCAGGTGGGACGAGGGAACAGGCTGAGGGTGAGGACGGTGGGTGGGATTTTCCGCGGGCAGAGGGAGCAGAGGAGCGGGAAGCTCAGACCCAAGACCGCTGGAGAGGAGGTGGCTGCTGAGCGTCTGGCGAAGAGGCCAGAGTCTGTAGCCAGGGACGGGGCACCGCCCCGGCCGAAACTTGCCGTGACAGCAAGTGGGGCCCGTGTGAAGGGGGTGACGTTGTAAGAATTTCTGGGGGCAGAGGGTAAGCGTTACGAGTGGCCTGGCAAGAAGCTTAGGCGAGATGAGTGTGGGGGAGAGAGTGAGTGTCATGGCAGTGCGGTGGGGTGGGGGCTTCCAGTGCGGCCAGAAGCTGTCACTGAGTCACCACTGGGCCCCTGTCAGAGTGGCAGGACCTCTGTGTCATCTCCTTTTCATCTTCAAAGCTGTCGCTTCTTCCTCACAATGCAAACTAAGTTCTCATTTACGTATATAAAACCATTTTCAGAAAGTTCACATCTTCTGGAAATTGGGGGATTTAAAATATAAAAACTACTTTGGGCCGGGTGCGCTGCCTCACGTATGTAATCTCTGCGCCTTGGGGAGGCCGAGAAGTGCGGATCGCTTGAGTCCAGGAGTTTGAGACCAGCCTGGAACATAGGGAGACCCCCATCTCTACAAAAATACAAAAATTAGCTGGGTGTGGTGGCGCTCACCTGTGTGGTCCCAGCTACTCAGGAGGCTGAGGCGAGAGGATCACCTGAGTCCAGTAAGTCAAGGCTGCAGTGAGTCAGGATGACACCAGTACTCTCTAGCCTGGGCAACAGAGCAAGACCCTGTCTTCAAAAAATGAAAAAAAAAAAACCCAAACTACTTTGACTAAATGATGAATTGGAGTCTGTAGAGATGCTTTCCATTAGGGTTTGCTTCATTAGTAACTCTGGTCTTAATTTTAAGAGGCTGGAATGCTGACAGGCTAGAGCAGGAATGTGACTTAAAGGAGTTGTGCTTGACATTTATTATTATTTTATTTTATTTTTTGAGACAGGGGCTCACCCTGTCTCCCAGGCTGGAGTGCAGTGCTGTGTACACAGGTCACTGCAGCCTCCAACTCCTGGGCTCAGGCGATTATCCTATTTCAGCTTTCCAAGTAGCTGGGATTATAGGTGCCAGTCACCACATCTGGCTAATTTTAAAAACTTTTTTGTAGAGACAGGGTCTCACCATATTGCCCAGGCTGGTCTCTAACTCTTGGGCTCATGCAGTTCTCCCCCATTGGCCTCCCTAGGTGCTGGAATTATAGGTGTGAGCCACCAGGCCTGACCTCGCTTGACATTTAGAAACAGTTTCAAATATAGTGATGGACTCAGGAGTAGCTGGTGTCCAAAAACTGGAAGCAGAATATTTACCTCTGAGAAAATGTCAACAAGGGAAAATTTATGAGATGTTCCTGGTTGGAGACTTGCTTTTTTTTTTTTTCCCCAAGATGGGGTTTCACTGTATTGGCCAGGCTGGTCTTGAACTCCTAGCCTTGTGATCCACCTACCTTGGCCTTCCAAAGTGCTGGGATTACAGGCATGAGCCACTGCACCCAGCCAAGACTTGCTGTTTTTAAGGGTGACTCTACTTTCATGTGTGAAGTAGCCTGTTTTACAAAACCTGGACTAACAGGACTTTGGGGCTCTGCCTGAGATCTGTGAATGATTTGTACCAAGTGAAACTGAACATCTTACTTCCGTTTTCCATGTTTCACTTTCTGCTTTGCGTATGTGTCTATTTATTCTTCCTCCAGATGTCTGTGAAATGCTTCATGTAAGAGGTCCCATATAAATTCTAAACACGTTTTAGGGTTATTTTGATTTCCCTCTACTACCTCATGTGAGGGAGGCTGGGCTAGTTATTTTTTTAATATATGTAACACACTATTTACCATATGCCAGGTATTGTTTTAGGGTATTAAGATATGAAGACTGCATTAACTTGTTTGATCCTTATAACTGTTGTATGTGGTAGGCACTACTGTGGTCACTTTCACAGATGAGAAAGCTGAGGATGGACAGGATAAGTAACTTGTCAAGGTTGTACAGCGAATCCCTGACAGAACGGGACTCAAACCCAGGCAGTGTGGCACCAGAGTCTGCACTTTTCTCTTTCCTTAGGGACAGGGTCTCACTATGTTGCCTAGGCTAGTCTCAAACTCCCGGGCCCAAGCGATTCCCTGCCTTGGCCTCTCAAAGTGCTGAGGTTACAGGCATGAGTCACCATGACAGCCCAAGAGTCTGTACTTCTTTTTTTTTTTTTTTTTTGACAGAGTCTTGTTGTATCGCCCAGGCTGGAGTGCAATAGCACGATCGTGGCTGACTACAACCTCTGCCTCCCAGGTTCAAGCAATTCTTTAGCCTCAGCCTCCCAAGTAGCTGCGATTACAGGTGCCCACCACCATTCCCAGCTAATTTTTTGTATTTTTAATAGAGATGGGGTTTTGCCATGTTGGCCATGGTCTTGAACTTCTGACCTCAGGTGATCTACCCACCTCGGCCTCCCAAAGTGCTGGGATTACAGGTGTGAGCCACTGCACCCGGGCCAAGTCTGTACTTTTAATACTTACACTATGCTGCTTTTCACTATGCTACTAGTGACGAAGAAATATGTAAGATAGTGAGTAAATATCATAGCATTCTGTGCCTGTCTTTCAGGCCAGTAGGATAGCTCCTTTGCAGAATCTTTTCCCGTCTTTTATTCTTTTTATGCTTGCCTCTTAACCAAAACACTTTAATCAAAACTTAATTTTAGTGGTGGGGTTATCCTCACAAAGTCACTCATGTCGTTGTCAGAGGCCTACTCTGTTGGAAGCTGGTTAATTCAGAATGTGTTTTTTAATAAGGTTTCATGGCACTGATGGCCTCCTTAGCTCCAGATACACAACTGGTAAATACATTCCTTGTGCCTATTAATTGAGGCTTTGTGACTGGGTTACTGCATACATAACCTTTCTATAGCCAGTGAAACACCCAGTTCAGAAACAGTCTTCTTGATGAGATAGCATCATTTAATTAATGTATTTATTTTAAAGATAGGGTCTCACTCTGTCAGTCAGGTTGGAGTGCAATGGTGCATTCATAGCTCATTGCAGCCTCAAACGCTCTTCCCACCTCAGCCTCCTCAGCAGCTAGGACTACAGGTGTGTGCCACCACACCCAGCTAATTTTTAAATTTTTCAAATTTTTTGTAGACATGGGGTCTCACCATGTTGCATAGGCTGGTCTTGAACTCCTGGCCTCAAGGGATCTTCCCGCCATGGCCTCCCAGAGCACTGGAATTACAATCATGAGCCACTGTGCCCAGCCAGTAGCATCATTTTAAAAATGAAAGATGAAACTTTTCAGTATATTTTCTGTAAGTAGTTGGTATGATGAAATGAGAAGAAGCTTTAAAGTCAGATAGACCTGCATTTGAATCCCAGTTAAAGGATTAATTTGGCTTAACTTGATCAAGTTACATTACTTAACCTGCCTGAGTAGGAAGAATAATGCTTTTCTACCTGAGAACTTGTGAAGATTAAATAAAATGATACGCATAAAGCTTCTAACTGAGATCCTGATTATGTGGTAAGTGCAAAAAATGTCAACTCCATTCCCTTGCTAGTTTTTTGAAATAAGGCAGCTATTTGCTCCACAAGTTACTGTTTGCAAGGGTATAACTTGTTCTTCCTCTTTCAGTAGCTCCCAACACATTGGGACCTAGAGTGTTGGCTTGGCTTCCCACGTCACCCTGGTGGTGTAATTTTGTGATAGATTTCCCCATTGTTTTCCATCTAGCTAGCTATCACTCCAGCAAAATGCTGTGGAGCTTAGGGATGATACTTAACTTTCCCTCAGTTTCCTAAATGCCAGCTGATTTGAGGTTGTCTAGTAAAACTACTAAACTACTAGTTTACTGACTAAAACCTTCCCCTCTTCTCAGCTCTGTTGATAGCATTTTCCACTCACTCAGCCAAGCCAGAGGGTCAGAGTGAAATTTGATATTTCCCTCTTCCCCTTTTCCCATATCTAAACAGTCACCAGGGTCTAAAATTCAATTCCTAATTTTTCTTTTGAAGCCTTCTTTTTCTCTCCATTTCCAAGTATAATGGTTTATATGACTAAAAAATCTAGGGTGTACTATTGCTTCAGACATGCCCAAATATGGGTGTTCAAAGCTCTGTTTCCTGATGTGTTGTTTTCTTTCTCAAGTAGACCTTTCTACAGGATTACCTTAGCAACTCCAAGCTTAGCAGTATCAGCAACAAAAAAGATGAAGTCCCAGTAGCTCCAGCAAAAGCAAAAATCCCAGGGCTGACTCTTTTTGGACTGACTCTTTTTGTTCCTGTTCTTGTGATCAGGGTGTGGGCTATTCTGCTTAGTCAGGACTAAATTATGTGCCTAACCTTGGGTGCTAGAGTAGGGTGAGATCTTGGGACCTTATGGACCAGAGCAGAGAGATGGTTCCTCAGTGAAAAATCAGGGTTCTCTTACCAAAATAAAGGGACAAATTCTGGGCAGATATAAACAGCGTATTCATTCTAGATTGATATCATTTCTCCTTGGGGATTACTTCGTAACTAATCTTCCACCCTGAATTTAGTCCCTCAATTGCGGATAGCTTCAACCTGCTTATAGATTTTTTTTTTTTTTTTTTGAGATGGAGTTTCGCTCTTGTTACCCAGGCTGGAGTGCAATGGCGCGATCTCGGCTCACCGCAACCTCCGCCTCCTGGGTCCAGGCAATTCTCCTGCCTCAGCCTCCTGAGTAGCTGGGATTACAGGCATGCGCCACCGTGCCCAGCTAATTTTTTTTTGTAGTTTTAGTAGAGACGGGGTTTCACCATGTTGACCAGGATGGTCTCGATCTCTTGACCTCGTGATCCACCCGTCTCGACCTCCCAAAGGATTATATTTTTCAGAAACAAAGTTACTATAATGTTTTACTCAGAGATGTTCAGTGGTTGTCTGGGCTTGGTGGCTTACGCCTATAATCTCAGCACTTTGGGAACCCAAGATGGATGGGTCACTTGAGGTCAGGAGTTCAAGACCAGCCTGTTCAACATGGCAAAACCCCATTTCTACTAAAAATACAAAAAATTAGCCAGGCATGGTTGTGCACCTCTATAATCCCACTTAGGAGGCTGAGACAGGAGAATTGCTTGAACCTGGGAGGCGGAGGTTGCGGTGAGCTGAGATGGTGCCACTTCATTCCAAACTGGGCAACAGAGCGAGACACTGTCTCAAAACAAAACAAAAGTAGTGTTCAGTGGTTTTCCCATTGAAAATAGAATATTTTCTGTGTCAAAACTCCTCACTCTGATATTCAGTCTTTATGTTAGTACTTATGAAGTTCTCAATTACAGAACCATGGCACGTTCGTCCACTCTCACATCTTTCTCACCATTCTCATTCTTGCTTTTCTGCACTTGCTGCAATAGCTCCCTCTTTGTCTGAAGATCTCTTAGTCATCCCTTACATGACGCGCCTTTAGAAGGCTTCCCTCTCTATTAGAGTACATCTCACTTCATGGCATGGTTATATAAGTGCCCATTTCCCCCATGACGTTGTGAATTTCCTGACAGGTGGGACGCTTCCTCTTTAACCACCAGTGCCTAGCACAGCGCCTGACATGGAGTTGGTGTTCAGTGAATGTTTGCTTGAGGAATGAAAACATGAGCCATGTGGTCATGCCTCTTACAGTTAGGCAGATGCTAGTGGACTGTTGTCGTGGAGAGTGCCACTTTCTTCCCGTTTCTCCTATTCATTTT